TTTTTAATTTTAAAAATCAACCCATGTTTATTTTATTTAATTCTCTTTTCATTTAAATAATGTTTTTTTTTTCTTTTCAAAATGGTGTTATTTTTACTTGTTTTAATTTAATTTTACTGAAGATACTATATAATCTTTAACATTGACTAATGTAATTTTTGTCCAGATGTAGTTTTTATTTTTTGTTCATATCTGTTATTCATAAGGGACCTCGTCCCAGAATAAAGTTTTCTTTCTATCTATCTATCTATCTATTTACGTTATATAAAATAAATAAAACCTATTTATTTGTTCTAACTACTTTATTAATAAAATGTAAACATTAGCATTCATATTAAATGTTGTTCAAAGTGAAGGTATGTCCGCAAACGCTGTGCTAGATGGACAGATATGTAGGAGATGGATTAGATATAATACTAATATGAACTTTTATTCCTAACTGTATAAAAACTATTGGCAACATGAGGATTAATACTATTTGGAATTAGCATTGAGAACTCTCAATAACATTTATCAGTTTGTAAGAGGCTTTCGCAGAGTACTCATCATTATGCCTTCCATTTATATTAATGGTGAATATGCCGATATGGTATTTGTATACTGTTTTTGCAATTCTAATGCTAATGCAATGCTAATAATGAATATGCCAAACGATTTCTATCTTCTTTTTTTTTTTTTTACTTTTATTATGATATTTACAACTGTATTAGTATGAATACATCAAGTAAATGTGTACATAGAAATATTATCACATGAAACAAGCTTGTTGAGAAACTACACATTGGTAGCACTCTAATAATTTGTCTACATGAGGAGATCACGAGGCCATCTCCTTTTCAGACGCCTCGGAGGGTTATCAGGAATCTAATAGGAAGCAAGGTTAGAAACAAGAGGATTCGGATGGTTATGAAGTTTATTATGGAAGGATAGGTATCTGGATTTGGCCAAATCGGAAACATATGGAACATTGAGGTCTTTCTATCTTTAGCTCCACGTTTCAAAGTCTTAGAGAAACTGGTACATTTGCTATAATACCCTTTTTGTATTTTTGCCTCTGCTTAATGAAATCACTTTGAACAACATTTAATATTAATTTACTGTTTACGTTTGATTAATAAAGTAGTTGGAACAAATAAATAAGTTTTATTTACTTAATATAACATAAATAATTCATAAAAATGAAAATACTTAGGAAGGAGATGGTCCGGGGTTGCGATCATAAATAGGCTAAATAGTGGTAAAATTATTTAGCCTATTTATGACCGCAACCCCGGACCATCTCCTTCCTTTATAATGCAATAGTCAACTATTAAATATTCAATACGAAAATATTTAGGTTTGAGTACCTCCTAAACAAAGTGTTTGCGGTCCTTAACTCATATTTTAACCTTCGAGACCTGGGACGATTAATGTTTGAAAAAAAAAATTGAAAAAAAAATATTTTTCAATGAGATTCTATTTCGATAACGAAAAAAATATATTCAGAAAATATTTGAGACTGAAAACAAGCTTCATCACTTAAAATAATTATTTTAAACGTTTTTGCTTTAGTTCAGGAGAATTTTGTAAATATAAAGCTGAACTTAATACCCTATAAAAAAAATCCTATAAAAACTTATATAACCTATACCTATTACATTTCGGAGCAGTTATGTTCTGAAGATGCACATTTGTTAAATGGAAATTAATACCAGACCATTTGTTCATTATTCTGAAAATTTCATCCATCTTTGAGTCATATCCATATATATTTGCTTATTATTAATGCCATCGTCCGATAGATATTGGCATCTGGTCGGACTAAATTGTAATTATTGGTTAATGAAACTCTAAACTCTAACTTAACTATAATAATAATAAATAATAAAAAGGCTTAGCGAACCCGAAGGTTCGATGCCGACACCACCAATCGCTTATTGCACACCTCCCTCCATCGTTCGCCGTCCAAACCCACTCCCTTCAGATCGGCTTTAATGCAATCTTCCCACCTTCGCCTCGGTCTACCACTCGGACGCTTACCATTCGGCACAGCAAATATTAACCTTTTAGGAATTCTTTCGTTACTAAGTCCAACAACTTTACAAGCCCATTTGATTCGCCGCGATGAAATTATCTCAATTATATTACTCGGATACAGCTCACGCAATTCGGCGTTGTGTAACCGTCTGAACTCTCCGGTTAACTCATAGAATCTAACTTAACTATAACAAAATAAAATTCAAAATTAAATTTTATTCGTATATGAATAATAAAATATATATATTTAAAACAGTTACTCATGAATATAAACAAAAGCATATTATGATAAATAGCCAGGTAAAAATCTGATTAAAATTCAACAAATATTTACATAAATAGTTAATACGGCGCTATATATGCATTTTTTACATTACATTAGTTACCAAGCTTGGGCTACTGCAGTATCGTAACTAAGGTCGAACATAGTCCCAGAGAACATAAGATTTTTTTTTTTCATGTTATATAGAATATATACAACTATTTACAAATAAATACACATTAAGTAAATGTGATACAGAGAAATAGAATGATATGAAAAGACGTGCAGATAATCTACCCATTGGTAGCATTCTAATAAAGTATCTAAATTAAGAGATCACGAGGCCATCTTCTTTTCTTACGCCTCGAGAGCAGTGTTACCGCGCGCTCTGTGACAAAACCTCGTACTCAAGCCTCGTACATCCTCGTACGCTTCATAACTTGTACTATTATAAGCCCAGTGTTATTGGTTTTTTTCATAGTAAAATTAGATCAGAATTTTTTATTTTTACCTCCATTCATACATTTTAAAGCCTTTTTACATTACCTTTTTTTTAAGTTAATACTGAACACGTTATATAAAAATTAAAATAGCTAAATAAACTTCTTAAAGTACTCTTCATAAGTATTCATTAGTAGATCCAAGATTTAGTTTGGGGAAAGGACTAATTTTTTTTCTTTTTTCTAAAAACAAAACAACTACTTTTATGAAAGGATGTTAGGGTTTCTGGAAGGCTAATAAAAATTAATTATTAGGGCATTGATGCTTTTAGAGATATCCATTATAATATAAAAAAATAATAGATTGTGATTGTTTCAGTATTTAACTTACAATTATATCTCGCACAAAATAAATGTGAACCACTGAAAAATTTTTGGTTTCATTATTTAAGATGGTTTCATTATGAATACTAGTTAATTTTTCAATTAATTACTTTACTCGATTAAAAATCGAAAATAATTTTTTTAAATTACGGCAATAATTACGGCAATAAATACATATTTGTAAAAAAAGTTTTATGAAGGAAATAATGGATGTGGGTTCTTATATTTTATTTTATACTGAATAAAATCTAAAATAATTTTTTTTAAATTTTATTTTCTAGAAATTGAAAAAAAAATAATATATATATATACAATCATGGTTTTATGAAGGAAATAATAATCATACTCTAATTAAAGAAGATATAATTGCAATTTATTTGTCTATAAAGCAACAGAAGTTCAGTATTTCATATCAACATAAATAATAATACAGTCAAAGTAACCGTAAAACAATTCTAAACTTCATTCATAAAAATATAACGTTGCATTCTAAAGTTTACTATAGAAGGATAGGTATCTGGATTGAACCAAATCGGAAACATATGGAATATTACTGTCGTTACGGATAATTTTATTTGTTACAAAGTAATGAGGATTGAGGATTTTGAATTGTAAGAGTTGGATTCGAGAGGAATTCGATGGCTTAGTGGAGCCCCATAGCTTAACTCCGTAAGTCCAAATAGGCCTTATTATAGTCATTTATACGAGTCCTTTGTAATTAATTGGATGCTTAGAGCGTTTGTCTAGTAAGTGCTGAAGTAATCGGAAACGTCGAGCGGTTTCTTGTCGTTTCAAAATGAGTCTGAATGAGGATTCCAACCTAGACGTTTGACCAGGTGGAGTCCTAGGTATCGGATTTGTTCAACAGGGATAGATGGAGTATTGATAAAGGATACTGCAGGACAGGAAGTCATAGGTTTACGACGTAAGGGTAAATGTAATTTGATGCGATTTATTAGAATTTATTTTAAGCTTAAGATTTTTAAAACATGAATTAGTAATGCATTCATTAATTTATACTTACAAAGATAGCGGAAAAATATATATTTTTTTTTATTAAGAAAAACTAAATAATTTCCAATTTTTTTTTTTTTAAATAACTATCGAATTCTAAACTTCTTTCGAAATTGGCATATTCTTATTTTCAGGGAATGTAATTCCTAAACTCAGTGCTGAACTCATCGATGTAATCGGAAATCCATCAAACCGTTCAATCAATTCAGTGCATTCTTTCATCCATCGATAGACTCCACGGTGGCTCATTATTTTTATAGGTTTTTGAGTTGGATGGATTCGCTAGCTGTAACCAAATTATTCCACCAGTGTTGTTATTTCTTAATTTGCTTGGAGACTTGTGACCAATCTGGTCGGCAGTAAACCTCCTTATCTTATCTTATGTCACCTTCTTATCTTATCTTACTTCACATAACCTAGCTTTTTATCTCTTGTAAGCTGTTTCGAGTCAGTTATCACATTGGTTATTTTTGTTCGATTATATTATATTATATCGATTATATTATTATTATATTTGTTTTTGTCTATTTCAATTTAAAATCAAAGTGTTTTGTTATTCTTACATTTCTGTTCGGCTATTTCAACTTCGATAAATATGACATTTGTTTTTGTCTATTTCATATATATGTTGTCAAATAAAAGTGTTTTATCATTATTATATTTGTTTTTGTGTTTTTTTATTTCATACGAAGACAGGGATTATCAGTGTTCAGGTCATAAACATTGGCAGATAGCAGTCCACGCCGACCGGATTGTTCACAAGAACCGTTTTCTTTTATAGAAAATTACTTATTTAAATTAGCTGTTATTGTTGTACAACTTGTTTTATAATAGGTCTATGTAAAAAGAAATGCAGACTTTAATCAGGTATTTCTCTTTTACAGGCTTGTCCCGGATGTCCGGTGGATGGAAACCCAGAAGATAAGGACATCAAATATTTTTTAAACAAAGCAATTGAAAAAATTAATACCGAATCGAAAATAGTCGAACCTAAAAAAGTTGTAAAGATTCTTTCAGTGAAACAACAGGTATTTTATTTATCTTCTGATTGAGTGATTTCTATAATGCGTATTACAAAATATTTTCTACTCATACTTTGAATAGTTAATGTTTGTAATATGTCAATATAATTAGTTTTGATTTTATCATATTCAAAATAATATGGTTTTCTTTTTATACTGAAATATAACTTTGAGCTGGTAATCTGGAATCACTTATCTTTGCCCAATACATGAGAATCACCGATATAACATAGGAGTGAGATCTTTGGTACAACATATTGGAACACATACACTTAATCTTAAGTATGGCATATTTCTTGCAGGTTGTTTCAGGTGTGATGTTCAACATAACCTACATCGCAGAAGGTAAACTCTCGAAGAAGGACTACATGTGTAGGATCGTGTTACTTGACGAGCCATGGGTGAGCGAAGAACCCCAAGTACTGGAGAGGCACTGCACGCCCATTGCGAAAAAGAAGTATGTCTCCAATATTTGATACAGTTTTTACCACACAGGGATCAAAAATAAAAATAATATCAGAAAATTATTTGTATTAGAAAATATATAATATAATATATTGTAACGAAGATTAAGAAAGCACTGGAAACAAAACAAACTCTACTCTGTTTTGTTTCCTATGCCAGATGACTAATTGATATTTTAGCATGTGCATGTACTCTTACATCTTATTGTATCTTGACTATCTTTGGATGTGGCATGCCATAATATTGTATATAAAATAAGTATCTTTTTTTGTTATTTGTATTATCTTTATTATCTTAAATATCTTTCTTTTTTTTAACTTTAATTGTATATAGTAATTATGTTTGAGTTCCCTCCTTTTCCTTGTATTTTATTTCTTTTTATTGTACATAGTATTAATTCTGTAAATATTTCTTTTTGTAAATAGATCAGTTAACCTTTTTGCTGCTTTATAAAAATTATCCAACCTAACCCCTTCTCACCTGAGCTAGCATGGTAGAGTAAATATGTAATGATGGCCATTAAAGGGTGAGTACTTTCTGTTTTCTAATTTATCTCTTTAGAGATGAAAGGCTGCTAAGCCAGGCGCCCAACAAATAAAAATTGCCATGGAAAATTATATTTATTAAAAATTATTTTATTATATTTTTATTTTTATTTATCCCCAACGTGGGGCGCCACTATTTATATGACCAAAAAAAGAATAAAATAAAAATATAATAAAATAATTTTTAATAAATATAAATTATATTTTTCATAGGAATTTTTATTTGTTGGGCGCCTGGCTTACCAGCCTTTCATCTCTAAAGAGATAAATTAGAAAACATAAAGTACTTACACTTTAATGGCCATCATTACATATTTACTCTACCATGCTAGCTCAGGTGAGAAGGGGTTAGGTTGGATATTTTTTTATAAAGCAGAAAAAAGGTTAACAGATCTATTTACAGAAAGAAATATTTACATAATTTATACTATGTACAATAAAAAGAAATAAAACACAAGGAAAAAGAGGGAATTCAAACATAATTACTATATACAATTAAAGTTAAAAAAGAAAGATATTTAAGATAATAAAGATAATACAAATAACAAAAAAAAAGATGCTTATTTTATATACAATATTATGGCATGCCACATCCAAAGATAGTCAAGACACAATAAGATGTTAGAGTACATGCACATGCTAAAAATATGAATTAGTCATCTGCCCAGGAAACAAAAGAGAGTAGTTTGTTTTGTTTCCAGTGCTTTCTTAATCTTGGTTACAATATTGTTTATGGAAAAAGCGTAAATTGAGCTGAAATTAAATTCAAGTGATAAAGAACGCATACAAGCACTTTTAGTGGCACATTTTAAATAAAAAAAAGTCTGGTGTGCGCTACACACTACTTTCACATACCCCTCTACTTTTAATAGAAATAATTTTTGGCAATGTTCGGCTATTATAAAATTTTGAAGAGCATTTTTAACGGAGCTACAGCTAATAAAAAAAATTTACATTTGGTAAGTAAATTTCATTTAATTTCCTTGGAAACATGTGATATTTGATTAAATAATATTGTTATTATTTTAAAGGGGACCCTACACGGTCAATCGGAATTGCACAAATGACGTTCCGAATTGTCGTGTAAGGTAGTGAATGAAGTACTGATGGTGGTGCGCTGCGGATTTCCGAACATCCGGAAATCAAAGGTTCATTCACGAGAAGTGGAGGGGGGGCTGAGGTAAAAGTAGTGGGGGGGGGGGCTAACCATACTGCTGGATAGGTTAGGTTACCTAGGCCTCACAACCATTATAAATTTCTGATTTTCATTATATGTAAATAGTTAAATAATTTTTCATATCCCTTGTTTATAATTTTAAACCATCTTCAACTATTTCTTTTAAATAGTCAAGTGGGCAACAAAAAAAAAAATGAGGAAACTTCACAATTTACTTTAGGAAAAAAAAAACTTTAACGTTGTGTATATTTATCAGTTCTTTTCCCATTTTCCTCAACAAATTTATTATTTTCGCAATACCTTTCCTTAATTTTTGTAAGTAGTAGACTTATATTTTACTAACTTTTGTCAAAACGATTTTCTATGAGACTAACCTTACTACTAGATAGGTTAGTTTACCTAGGCCTCGTTATTAAGTAAATAATTTCATAAAAGTAAATAGTTGTTTATATCCCTAGTCTATATTATTATTAACCATTTTCAACTATTTTTTCTTTAAATAGTCAAGTAGGCAATAAATTGGAGAGAAAAAAAAGTGGAAACTTCACATAAGTAATGATCAGTAATGATTGAACGTGTAAGGGTCTTCATGATCAAAGCGATAGCGGGCAATCTTGGAACTTCTTGTGACGTTCATTCATGAAATACCGTGTAGGGTCTGCTATAGACAGTGCATCATTCATTCATTGCATCATCATTCATTGAAATACATGTTTCTAAAGGAGTTCAGAGCTCCATTTGTTTTGAAATGCATGTGCATTGTTATCCACAAGTCAACCTTAAAATTCTAATTCCCTCATGTCTACTTCCCTCACATCTCCAAAAGTGAGGGAAATAGATGTTGTGAGGGAAATAGAGCACAATATGCTAAACTGTAATTTAAATAAGTTGCAATTAAATAAGTCAAGATGGATGTGATTCGATTTATTGAGGATGACAGTAATAGCACCATACGCCTATACACATTAAACCTCAAAGTATATTAATCACTGAGGAAACATCAGATGCTAATCCTTATGGTCAACCAAAGGAGGAGAGTTACATCATTGCACGATTCGATGGTAAAAAAGAGTATCGTTACATTTGCTGCTTTACAAGTGTGCGGAATAATGAAGCAACACTGCTTTTGGCCTATATTCGCATCAAAATTCAAAACGTGATTTCATTTTAAACGTAAATGGCCAATTCTCTCTTAGACTCAGTGATATTTTGATGGAATTACCAGCTCCAAAAGTCAAAATTCAAAACAGCAACAAATCTTGCGAGTTTTTCCGTTTGACTTTGGAGTAGTGGAAAAAAGTGAAATTTAAGTTACAACTTTCAACAACACAACAATTACACAGGGTAACTGACTACATATCGACAGCACTAGAGCGAAAACTATATGCAACGGAGTATTTCTGGATGTCGCCCAAGCTTTCGACAAAGTATGGCATCAGGGGCTTCTCTTCAAACTCAAGACCATACTTCCACCAACCTACTTCTTAATTATTCATTCCTTTCTCTCAGACAGATTTTTCCCCGTTCGACACGGTTCAGGTCTATCCTCGATTCGACCTATTTTAGCTGGCGTACCTCAGGGGTCAATCTTAGCCCCACTACTGTACATCACATACAAACACGACATTCCTCAAAGTATCCACACACTTACAGCAACCTACGCAGACGACACTGCTATCATTACTAGACACGATAATCCTAAACAGGCATCACTTACAAAAAATAAACGATTGGTGTAAACTATGGAAACTCAAATAAATTATCAAAAGTCACAACAACAGATCACATTTACTCTAAGACCAGAAACATGCCCTGCTGTATATATACCGACATAGACTACATACCGATTCCACAAACAGACAGAGTACAATACCTAGGCCTGACGTTGACAGAAGATGACATGGGGTCCACATGTAAAGAAAAAACGTGCATCATTAAATCACAGATTAAAACTATTGCATTCATTATTAAGACCTGTACCACTACAACCCATGAAGGGTCTGGGGTTCAGTACTATTTAGGGAAAGTACTGTTTCTAGGTCAGCGGTAGTGCAAGGAGATGATTTGACCGAGATCACGCTCAACCGCCAGGTTTTTCTCCTTAATTAATTATTTAATTAAGGGTACCAACTTTATAGAGGCTGGGTGTGCCCCAGGAGGGACTTCTGACCCAAGGTCGCCCCACGGCCAATGTAACAGATAAATAAATTTTCTGCCATGAGCCGGGGTTCGAACTCGGGACCTTTGCATTGGAAGCTCAGTGCCCTACCACTGAGCTACCCCGCTCCCCATTATTAAGACGGCATTCGAAATTAAAAGCAAGACAGAAATTAAATATTTATAAATACCTATTAAAATGTCTCTGGATTTATAGACTACAAATATATGGAATTGCAAAACCAACACACATAAAACGACTTCAACCTTTTCAGTCTAAAATACTACGACTAATTACCCAAGCACCCTGGTACGTGAATAATAACACTTTACACACTGACTTACACATGCCAACGATCAATGAACACATACGAACTTACTACAAACGATTTCATAATAAATTACATGGACACTCCAACCAGCTAATTAATGAAATGGCCACGACTATTATGCCGGAGAACTCCAGAAGACGACTGAAAAGGGTCTGGATGAGGGACCTACTTACGTAATTGTATGTAAGTAAGTAAAAGCCATGGAAGGGATGCCGCTGGGTATTGCTTTTCCTCATGCCTATCAAGCCTTTTTATTTATTTTTTTATTTTATTTTTTTATTTTCTCATGACTGTGCCAGCACATCTGCTGATTGTCAATAGTTATAATTGACAGGTGTGGATAAATAAATATATGTAAGCGCAAAAAAAAAAAAAAGTTTCAACTATGATTTTATTTTTAAACTGATTATAAGCTAGTAAAAGCCTATAATTAGTTTCAAAATGAAATCACAGTGGTAACGTAAATTCCACTCCTTTTCGATTAGAAAAAATAAATTTATATTACAATGCTTCACGATTCCAAAATGTTTTATTTATTTATTATTATTTTTCTTGCTTTATGTTTAAAATTTTACACATTGTCGAATAATATCTTTTAATTGACTGATTTGATAATAAAAATATTTTATTAATTAAATGTTGATTGTTTTCTATTTCCCTCACTTTGATGATTTCAATCATGATCCTAAATGTGGATATAGACTACAATCTATGGAGAGATTTTTTGCTAGTGCCATTAGTGAACTATTGTTAATGTGTTTATGAAAAAAAAAAAACTATTTTCTAATATAATCACAGTTCCGAAATTCCAACAAAATGAGAGAATAACCCATATCATGAAAAAGACATATTTTATTTTTGATCCTTGTATTTTTAAATACAATTGAATGATTATCATACATGATTGTTAATGTGTTTTTTTTCCGTTCACAGGAATGATAAATCTCCGCACGGAACGCAGAAATGACGTAATAATATTATATTACTGTAAATACATAAAATATGAATATAACCGTGTAAATATTTGTGCATACATATTGTAAAACAAGAGTGTGGACTATTTAAAACCAGGATTTTTTTACAATGCATTAGTTGTTCTTCAATTTCCAAAAAAACAAAACCTTATTAATGTTTGAAGATGGATAAGTCGTTGTAAATCATCGAGCTGCTAACTAACAGCTCAACGCACTTCGAAGATAATGGTATTACATCTTGTTATTTTTGTCTTATTTTTTTTTATTTTCTATTCGCCATTGTAGAATATTTCTAAATAATGATAAATAATTTATTCAGGATAGGTGTGCCATAGCAATGAGTGAAGTGTGAAAAAATTCAGTTAAAGTACACGTCTTCGAAGATCGGCTCCAGGTAGCGCCACTTACTGAATCAGCTGGGTTACGGCTACATCCAGTGTTGCCGTTTGTACGAGGATCCTCGTATTTGTACGAGGTTGTGACGTAATGTACGAGGTATGAGGATAGATCAGCCTCGTACCTCGTACATAAGTTTTGCTGACGTTTGCAATGCAAGGTTATATTTTTATGAATGAAGTTTAGAATTGTTTTACGGTTATTTTGACTGTATTATTACTTATATTATATGAAATACTGTTGCTTTCTAGACAAATAAATTGCAATTATATCTTCTTTAATTAGAGTATGATTATTATTTCTTTCATAAAACCACGATTGTATATATATGTTGTTTTTTTAATTTCCTAGGAATAAAAAAATAAAAAAAAAATAAAAATTTAGATTTTATTTAGTATAAAATAAAATATAAGAAACCATATCCATTATTTCCTTCATAAAACTTTTTTTATAAATATATATTTTTTAAAATGTGTTGTAAAAGAAAATTAAACAGAAATTTTTATCGTCATTTTTATCGAGCATAAAATAAAATACGAGAAAGTATATCCATTATTTCCTTCGTAATTATTGTTTCCTTCATAAAACTGCAATTGTAAAAATATTCTAGATAAATTGAATTTTTTAAAAAATTATTACCGTAATTTAAAAAAAAATATTTTCTATTTTTAATCGAGTAAAGTAATCAATTGAAAAATTAACTAGTATTCATAATGAACCCATCGTAAATAATAGAAAAAAAGGATTTTTTCAGAGGTCCACATTCATTTTGTGCAAGATCTAATTGTAAGCTAAATACTGAAACAATCACAACCTATTATTTTTTTTGTATTATAATGGATATCTCTAAAAGCATCAATGCCCCAATAATTAATTTTTATTGGCCTTCCAAAACCACTAACGTCCTTTCATAAAAGTAGTTATTTTGTTTTTAGAAAAAAGAAAAAAAAAAAATAGTCCTTCCCCCAAATTAAATCTTAGATCTACTGATGAATACTTATGAAGAGTACTTTAAGAAGTGTATTTAGCTGTTTTAATTTTTATATAACGTTTTCAGTAGTTTATAAAAATACATAAACTTTTTTATATATTTTATTAAGCTAATTTTACTTCTTGACCCTTAACTTATAAAAAAAAGTAATGTAAAAAGGCTTTAAAATATATGAATGGAGGCAAAATAGAAAATTCTGATCTAATTTTACTATTAAAAAAAAAACAATAACACTGGGCTTATAATAGTACAAGTTATGAATGAGCAAGTGTACGAGGATATACGAGGCTTGAGTACGAGGTTTTGTCACAGAGCGCGCGGCAACACTGGCTACATCTACACAGGCGGTCTCTGCGGTCTAAATTTGTAACTCGCCTTAATGGCCACTTATAGGGTCAATATTATTGAGTCAATATCGAGTTTTGTCAATATATTTACCGTATAAGAGCTACATTGGCATTAATTATATTGAGCTCAATCAAACTGGTTATTATCAATTTATTGAAGCTCCTTATAGATTATTAAAACATTGTCAATATAATTGCACCTACCTAAGATAGGTCATACTTTGTTTTCATTTTTTTTTTTTTTTTTTTTGGTTAGGTTTGGTTTGGTTAATCCTACCCTAATTCCCCTCTGAATTATTTATAAAATAAAATGGCATTATGTTTGAACCGGTAGGTGTAATACTTTTATTTTATTTTTTATGATATGACCTCTTTAGTCGTCTGCTGATAGGCATGTCAGATTTGGCCATGTCGTTAATGAGTCCGTTTTGATGTCCATGTAGTTTAAGATAAAATCTGGAGTAGAGATCACGTCGTAAGTCGTTATGTAAAGTTTTGTATGGCATTGTGAATTAAGAGATTTGCATTGTCTGTCATAGACAGGTCAAAAGTTGTCACACTGATTGTATGTAGATTCTGTTTGAATGTCGCAAAGGGAAAATTTATCTAATAATTCACTAATTTAATTTTCTAAAAGATTACATAATGAATTTTCAGAATATACGAACGATAGATACCTAATTATTTAAATGTAGTATCAGATCTAGAGTTATTAAACTACAGTAAATATATTTCAGGTTATAAACATATCCATTAAATATTTTAATATTTCACTTCTTCTTTTACACAAGTACAATGAAATAGTATCTTAGACAACGTTACCTTGAATACGTTAAATTTTTTTTTTGTCTTGATATTTCCATCCGCGCTGTCATGAGTTTGACAATAAACAGATGTGCCGTAAATAATAAAAAAATTGACATTTTAGACATGAGGAAAAAATAGTATCCAGCATCACTTCTTCCTGGTCTTGGTTTATTTTCTTAATTCAGGAAAGGAGATCTCTCATCCAGTTCCTGTTTAGTAGTCTCCTGATGGGCATGTCAGGTTGTGATGTCCATGTAGTTTAAGATGAAATCTGGGGTAGAGATCACGTATGAGTAGGTCGATAGTTGCTTGTCAGAAATTGTTATGTAAAGTTTTGTTGTTTACGTACCAAGGAGCTACTGTTATAAGTCGTAAAATTTTGGATTGAAAGGTCTGTAGTTTTTGTAAGTAAGTCTTTTTTGCAGAACCGTAAATTTGTGAGGATTTGAATAGGTAAGTGTATGTATAAAGTTTTTGTCTGATTTTCAATTTTGATTTGGAATAAAATGAGTACAGTATTTTCAGTCACTTGTTCAAAGTATTTCGTTTCATTTTAACATGTGGGCCTCAGGTCATCCGTCGATCAAATATTAACCCGAGATAACGTATTGGGTCAGTCTGAGAAATTTGGTTGTCGTCGATATAATTTGGAGGGCATCCTCGAAGTGTAAAGGTTATATGTCGTGATTTGTCATGATTTAATTTAATTTTCCAAAGTGAATACCAAGTTTGTAAATTTAATAAGTAATTTTGTAAATTAAATGAGGCTAGTCTGGGGTCGTGGTGTTTTGTTAAAATTGTAGTATCGTCAGCGTAAGTAGCAGTCAATGCTTCAGAGGTGGTAGGCATGTCATGGCGGTGATATTTTTATGCTTTTTTTGAAGTTTGGTTAATCCCATCCTTCTATTTTTAAACAAAATGGCAATATGTTTGGGTAAGTGGGTGATGCTTTGTTTTACTTCTATTTTGTTTTGTTTTTTGTGGGGGGGTTAAGGCTCCCTATTCCAATTTTTTTTATTAAAGATAAAATTGTAATATATTTGGGTTCATGAGTGATGCTTTGATTTACTTCTTTTTTTTGGTGGGAGGAGGGGATTAAGTTCTCTTCTTCCGATGATTTTTTTTTGGGAGGAGGAGGGTGGTCATTCCATACAATAAAAATACAAATAGAATTACAAAATGGCAGTATTTTATGCCATTTAACTGTTTCGAAGTTACATGCCAAAGATCACATTTCTTTTTTTAATGCTAAAGCCAAGGCAATTAAAATTAGTTTCTTAAATCTACTTCAATGTAGTAAAATAAAACCTTTTACTTGGCAGACTATTGTTTGTTTTTTACTCTTAATAAGAAACATGCTGTGGTCTTCACATGTACGATACCTGATGATGCATAATTTATTTATTTATTTAGAATTACAACAAACTGTCACGTGGACAATAGATTATAGTGATATATGAACACATTCACACCATATATTGTACATAATTAAAAACTATGTACAATAAAAAAATAACAACATCTAAAGATAAATAAAGATGATGCATAAATTGGTGAAATATTGATAGGTTAGTTTGTAAAGATTTCTACACCTGTACTTTAAAGACGAAAGTCTAAATATTGAGAATATTCCACTTATATTCTAACATTAAATTTATGTATATTTTTGCTATTTTATACTAATATATGTATATTTTGTAAATGATACGGAATGGAAATAAGAAAAAAAATGGTATTTTCGACTTAGTGCCCTCGGATTTGCCCCCTTTGAGCGAGGTAAAGTTCATACTGTATATTATATATATTATTTGTATCTACACATTCTTCTTCAATGTAACAATATAATAGGGTGTATAAAAAAAAAATTACCGTTTTAACAAATTCGAAAATTTAAAAGACTGAAAATATTTTAATCTTATTAATATTTACGAAATTCTCGTAATATTAAGGCATTGCTGGAATAAATATTTCACAGCCACTGAAGCAACTCGTGATATTATTAAATATGAAGTGGAAGGAGTCCTGTACCAGCGCACTGCGCGGCGTTTGAAAAATTTAGCTATGGAGATTCGTTGGAAAGGAAGAAGGATTCCGGGCGACCATTAATGGATATTTATAAGCTTCTACAGGACGCTGTTGGGTCAAATTCTACAAGTACTCGCAAAATTGCCAGGGAGTGTGGTGTATCGAAAGATATTGTTAGTCGCCATCTACTCTCCATGAGGAAGGTGGAAAAGAGCAGTAGACTGGTATCTCACGAACTCCTCAGCAATCAGCTAAGAGGTTAGAAATTTATTGAAAAACTCCTGCCTCATCCACCATATAGTCCAGACCTCGCACCATCGGATTACTAATTATTTAGATCCATAGCTTATTTCCTTTAAGAGAAAAAATTTGATAATTTTGCAGAAGTTGAAATTGCGGTCCAAGAGTTCTTTGACAGCCATCCCAAAAAATTGTATCAGCCTGAGATCGAGCAATTGGCTAGCAGTTGGCTAATGAAGATAGATAACAATGGACTATACTTTGAGTATTAATTGTATTTTATATGAAAGAAATAATAATACAAATATTCGATTGAAAAACGGTCATTTTTTTTTTTTTTTTATGCATCCTATTAAAAATATCTTAAGCATTAAACATTTACAATCAATAATGTATTTTGTACATAACTTTAAATTAATTAAATATTGTAAATATAATTATTTGAGAAATCTCTCATTTAATATATATATTACCATGCCCTTCCTCTTTCTGACTTAATTACAATTAAGATAATTACCATTCATTGTCTGCTTGTCCATTGGTATTTTATTCTATGAAGGAGAGAGCTGATATTTAAATTTATTAAAATTTGGCAGAAGAAAAAGACAAAAAAAAAACAATGAAGATAAAAGGAAAAATGATTATGGATTTATAATTGGGATTGTTAATAATAGGAGAGCTTATCTATTGAACTGCAAAAACAAAATATTATAATTAGGTAATTTTAGACTGTTTTATATATTCTCATTCCATCAGGATTTTTTTACCACTGACAGTCTCTATTAAATTTTAAAACTTTATCTGTATAGTAGCTTTCGGTGTCATTGCACCATATTCATCTCTATAATTATAATACTCCAATTGGGATAAATTAATATTTAATTAATGACATTAACGATACATATTTTACATAATTTGAATGATGACCTCTTTCCACTCTTTCAATGACTTCCTGAGCTTCTTTAGAGCTGTGTGCGTACACCCGATCATTTTTCCGATTACATTTTTCGTCAATGGTAAACATTTTCTCATCGCTAAACAAAATATTTCGATGAAGACCATTGGTATATAACGGCCAAGGAACACTTTGCATCTATCCACTATAATGTTTTTTAAGGAAGTGGTTAGCCTTTTGTTCTGTCATTCTTCGAAATGCACCCATCCTAAGGTCACTTATTATTATCAGAGGCATCGATTTGATAGAGATTCCAAAGACGTGATTTGATGTTTTCGAATGGGATTTCTTCTGATTAGAGCAGCCATTATCTCACTGGATTTGCCGTTCTTACAGTACGGGGACGGCCGGGTCGAGGTCTGTCACATACAGATAGGGTCTGATTATTTCTATTTATAGCGTTTATTTATAGGTTGCAAAGTATTGAAAATGTCTGACCTACATTTTCCAACTTTGTGTAAGGCGATCATAGCTATTCAGTTTTCTTTATCACCCCACTCCATATTAACTGAGCGAAAGAAAAATACAAAATAATTGGGATTATTATCCTTACATGTAAAGAAAATAACCTGATAGAGGTAAGGATTATCTAAAAAATACCTAAGGATGTAAATAAAGTTCAACTTTTGTAGAAGTATTTATGGCAGAACTAGGTATTTGTAGAAGTTAATTTCCATATCAATCTACCAAGATATTCCAGTGGATATGGAAGTACGTTTCCTTAGAGTGGATAGAATTTTCCAATGATCGAGATTTTTTTTAAATTAAAATATTTTTTTATTATTTACATCCACCTGCCAAAAAAACCATATGCTTTCTATCATAAATAGGGACTACCTAAATATTCCAAAAATATTATATATTTCGAATCAATTTATAAAATGTTAGTGCTTTAAAATGCCCTTTCAAATTACAATAGCAATAGATCCTTCGAAAAAAATTAGAAAACTTTTAGAAAATTCACGGAAAAAAATTCAAAAGTCAGATAAAAACATCATAGGAGGTTCACAATCAGAAAGTTCTGAGAATGAAATGGTTGCTGAACATATCATGGTTTATAGGAACGGGAACTATATCCGAGACGCTCTGAACGGCTATTTTTCCAATCAGAAGGGATCGGATAAAGAAGGAAAAGATTCATCATCATTTACAGGAGCTGGAGATTCTGGAAAAAACGAAGCAAATATCTTTACAGAATCCAATTCTAATAAGAAGTTAATGATGATAGAGCCCAAAACTATCGTACCTGGGTTTTTCAAAAGGTTATTTGCCACAACTAAGAAGAAGGATAATTCATATGAAATCGAACAAAACCGGTCGTGTGATAGTGCCATCAATACGTTCAACTCGCTTTTGGAAGAGGAAAACAGTCTGGAAGCATTGGTTGGAAAAGCGTTTTCCCTCAATACTGTGGTGACCATACAATCCATCGAAGATGATGGAAAACCCAACCTTATACTCAGCGGCAGTATACCGTTCAAGCTGACTACCAAGGATGGGATAGTAAACAAAAAGGTTCGCGTCAAGGGGAAGCTCTACAGTCCCAGGAGGGGAGAAGAGAACACAACTGGAGCGGATGACAAATCTTATTCGAGTACGCAATCATTGATCAGGAAGAAGGTGAACGAGCAGTTCAAGCACGATGCCAGCACGATAGAAAAGGTTAAATGGCTCACGAGTCATATTTTTACTCAAGAAGAGTACAAAGAAATTCGCAATTTGCCCGAGGTAAAGACAGTGAGGAACAAGTGGTTAGAAAAAAAAGATGGGCATGAGCGGATAAAACATGTTACCGACATTGATGAAAGATTATCTAGTTCCAATATCATCGAATTGGGACAACTAAAATGCGACCAGAGTTCCGTTCTCGCTAATGAAGATAAAAAACCAAAAGTACCAGTTTCGTCGATAACAATCAAAAGGTCCAAGTCACGCGTTATCAGGTTCACGGACGGGTCGGACTTCAAGGAGAAGGTGGGCAGGAATGTGATAACACTGACAGCTCCGGAGGGCGTCCTGTACATGGCTGAAGACATGCGAGAGGAGTCGTGCTGCGCCTTTGGGAGGGAAAGGAGAACAATAGATGTCAATTGCGAAGATAACATGTTCACCCGAAGGTGTTTTCAAATGGCCAAAGAGGAAGATGTATATGCCTTGTCGCGCTCTTTAAACGATCCGAAGAGGTCGGAAAATGGAAGAAATAAGAAGATAGATCGTGAGGTAAAAGATTTAGACAACAACATTTACTATCCCCCTGGCAACTATAGCCACATCCTCGCGGACAGGTACAATCCTCTGACTTGGATATATCAGAACTTCGATAAAACAAAGAGGTTTGTTCAGGAATTTAATTGTTGAATCATTCTGTAATCTCGTTGGATCACTGAGGATGATTACGCTTAATAATCTGTAATTGTAACTGTTAAATAAAAGAATTACAAAGATGATTAATCATTGATTTTTTTTAAAGCAAACTAGGAGGCCCGTGCAAAAAATTCGCACAGCATATTGTTTTCAAATTCCTAATTATTAAGAAAAAAAAAATAATGCAACGTATCAAAAGATAAAAAAAAATCAATTGTTACTTTATCGATAAATATAAACGACAAAGGAAACAAAAATTATTTTAAATCTTCATTAATGTTTGGAACCAACATGTTTACAAATTTCAATAAGCTGTATCTTTGCTAAAAAATGTCCGATTACGATGATTTTTTCCCTTTTGTAGGGAATTAAGTAATGTTTTATATAATCGTAGGAATAACCAAGGGAAAAGTGTGTAATTTTTTAGTTATTCGCAAATAAAGTTTCTTTTCTTTCATAACTTGTTTGCCTGAATTTTCGGGATGATTGGACAATTTTGCCCGCCTGAAGGAGAAGGAAGCCTTCGAAATTGTTGGCTCAATCTTGAGATTCGGTAAGAATTAACGATGATACGGCTTGCCGATCAATAACACCATCGATAAATAATATAAACTCCTCCTCTCTCGATCATAGAGACCTCAAGTCGACGAAATGAGACATGTATTCAATGACAGTACTACAATTAACGTAAGGTTGTGTGGATGCGAACCCTATGCCTTGCGTTATCTCGAAAATAGTACGTTTTTGGGCTTAAAAACGCAGGATCCGATAGTTTCGGAGGAACTATCCGGGTCTTGCTGTACGCATCAAAATCTTCAAGGTCCAATTTGTCCCGTATCGATCAACAGATCTATCACCGATCCTGTATTGAAGCCTAGCAAAATGTTTGTATCGACTTTATTTATTTTAGAAACAAAAACAAAAGTGGACAATACGATTCGCTAACCCCCCGTGAAATTCTGAATCCAACGGTACTCCATTCATGGTATTTGAGCATGACAGGAGCTTATATTTGGTACAAAACCGATTTCGAGCCTTACTGTAATAATATATGTGTGGATAGCTCATTAGTCGTGAAGCGTGCAACAGTTACAAGTTCTTACATAATTTGTTCAATTCGCCACAATCCCTTAAGGTCCGTTGGCACAAACACAGATTTATATATATATTTTTTATTTATTTATTATAAATAAATAAAAGACATATAATAATCTGTCTCGTTGACAATAATTATGAACAAATTCACACCATATATACAGAAAATTAACAAAAGTAAAATAATAATACCAAGCCAAGATTCTCCCTCCAACTAGATTTATATTCCGTGAGAGAGTTCTGTTTTTTAAATAGAATCAGTTTTTCTTCATCCTGGAAGATCTTGTTGCATTGTTAATCCCATATTTAAGTTTTCCATGGATAAGTGTATAGTTACATTCTAAAAATATGTTCTTAACCGTTCTATTGGGTGGGCAAATAAGTCCTTTCGGTTTTTCAGGGTGAAATAAAACTCAATGTATTATAGACATAAAATTTATTTTAATCTACAACATATAGGCCATTATTTAATATGGCATTTTCTCACCTTTCCGCTAACTGTATAATGCCATGTTCATAGAATGTCTGCAATTTATTGTTAAAAAAATGATCCAAGTGGTTTTTTATGTCCTTTAGAATTTCTTTCCATTCGTGGAGTTCTGCAGAGGCCGGAATAAGTGGTAGTCACTTGGAGGTATGTCATGTGAATAGGGAGGGTGTGGCAAAAGATCCCATCTAAGGCTCAATAATTTATTACGAATGACCAATGAGGGGTTTTGGTGGAACACAACAACCTACAGTCCATTCATAGCTCTTCAGGATGTTCTCCAAATTCGATGTTACTATGTCCGTTGGAAAGCTGAATTATTGCTCTTCAAAGCCGTATGAATGTTTTTTTTTTATTTAATGTCTATATAAGTAATAAAGAAACAAAAACTCCTTATAGGTTTTCATTTTTTATCTCTATTTGTAGTTTGTTTACGAAGGTCCTATTGATGTGTAGTTTATGTGGCCTTAAATTCCAGCTAAATTTCTTGTAGATAGCTAAAGTCGTAAAACAATTTTTTTTTAAACGAATTTATAAATTGTTTGTGATTTTCGAAAGAAAAAACATTTGAGGAACCCAAAAATTAAGCCTGGAAACATAGCCGAACTTGTGCAAATGGTTTTCTAAGCTTGTGTGCGACACATTTAGGGTCATAGCAATCTCTCGCACTGATTGGCGGTTTATCAGCCTTAATATTGCTCGTTCAATTTCATGTGGGCGACCAGACCGTTGAGCATCATTGATGTCAAAATTTCCTGAATCAAATTTGGCAAACCAAGTTAGGCAATTGCGTTCGGTTAAGGCATCATCCTCATAAACACTGCAAACTTTTCTATGAGCTTCTGCAGCACGCTTAACTTTTTTAAAATAATAAAAGAAATATGGCGATAATGAATGATATTTTCTTCCATATTCACAGAGCAATAGCAAACACATTGCTAATCTTGTTTCATCAAGAATTAACAGATATAGTTGTTGACATATTACAAACAGTATAAACAATCCACCTTACGGATTAATTCATCAGGCAAGAAGTATATCATAATGAAATAAAAACAAACAGAAAAACCGAAAGGACTTATTTGCCAACCCAATAGTAACTTGGCATAAGTACACGTTGAGGCTTCCAATTCTCGCAAGATGAGCTCGTATAAAATTCACAGTATCCGATACGTAAGCAGCTAATAAAGATCACTTCTTCCCAACTTGATCATCGAGTGCAATTTTTCTTAATTTCCTGTAGTTTCGTCAAACCACTAGCGGATCCAGGATTTAATTTTGGGGGGGGGGCTTCAGCCTGAAACCTTTTTTTTTTCATAAAAATAACGATAATTACTTTGGAAAAACAGAAAGAAACTAACTACCTATATGAAATGGTGTTTAGGTTATTCCTTAAGTGCTTTTAAATGTAATTACACGAACAATAATACTTTAAGAGGTATTTTTTAATTTTCTTTTCCCATAAAACATGGTTATATTTTTCCATTTTGGGGGAGCTTCAGCCCGAAAGTCCCCCCTCCCCCGTAGATCCGCCCGTGCGTCTAACTAATATTACAATTTTTTTTTTTGGGTTGGCGCTACAGAACTTGAAGATCTTTGGCCGCGAGATGTGGTCTCCTAGACCACACCCCAATTGCCGATTTAAGTACACGGGGGTACGGTCATCAGTCCTACGCCTGGTCGGTGTGAGTTGCCTCCAATAGGCCTCACATTGTCGTGGGGGGGGGGGGAGAAGAGGGAATCTCGGACATCGTGGCTTTCCCTGATGGACGCTGACCCCAATCGGGCGGTCACCCATCCAAGTGCTAACCACGGCCGTCGTTGCTTAACTTTGATTACTTCTTGCAAGCGGCTTAGCCCGTACGGCTACCCCAGCCTCCAATTCACCCAGCAATATTACAATTTATTGATCATTTTTTCTTTAAACGGTGAATCAATTGAATGAAAGGATGGCGGTATCATCAGTATATGTTGCCAGGAAGGCATTGGGATTTGTATGGATGTCAACAATGAAGAGGATATAGAGTACTGGGCCTAAGACTCTGCCTTGAGGGACACCAGCTTCTATTGGATAATAATTGAAATGTTCTTTGTCGCAGCGTACTTGAAAGGAACGATTGGAAAGGTAAGATCTAAGCATTAAAAATAAGGATTGGAAAGTTCGAAAAGCAAGCCATCGCGCCACACCCGGTCAAAAGCTTGTTATAGAAAGGCACCAGTGCAATATTGCTTGCTTTCAAGTGCAGAGGATATGTGATCACGCGAAGGCCTTGTTGAACTGTGGAGTGTCCTGATCGGAAACCAAACTGTTATGAGGGAATTTCGTGGGATTCGAGTATAGGCAGGATTCGTTTGAGAAGGTTTTTTTCACAGATTTGAAAGGATCGGGAGAAGGCTTATTGGTCTAGAAGATGAAGTGTAGTTGACAGGTTGCTAGGTATAGGGGAAAGGACGATTATAGAGTGTTTCCATTGCAGACTTATTAAAATAAATATCCAACATTTAATAGAAAACTTTTTGATCGGCAGCAGGCAACAGTAAAACTGTAGTCAAGGCGATACCTGCTAAAGGTTATGTTAGACGTAGGAGGGCACATTCACAAACAGAAGATATGTCAGCTCTGGTTTGAGAACCCCTGGTCTGGTTGTTACGTCAGAGCTCAATTTCTTCCCACCATTTTCTCTCTGAGTGATCGAACCTGGTAGTTATATACACCTTGGCCTGCGCAGAGGTAATAGTGGGTGATTTAAATTGTTTCTTTGTTACTGTCCGTTCCACTTTGCATATATAAAATAAAATATGAGTCACTAAAAACTTTTTTATATAATAGAGATTTATAAGGTCATAATAATTTACAAATAACTTAAAACAAAAGTTAAGGAACACATTATCGATATAAATCAACTTCATTTATTGAGGTTAATATAATAATGTTTATTTAAAAGCTTTACAGTTGATTAAATAACCATGAAGAGTAAATTCATTTCTCTACATAATGATGTAATTATTGTCTTCTCACTAACTACAATAAATTCTGAGTAAACAATTGTCGGGATTTCTTTTACATTTTTTATTTCCTTTAACAACTGAAACATTATTAACAAACAAAGCTTGTTGGTCCCACTATCAAAATACTTTTTACCTTGGGACTCGCCTGAATAAATTCTGAAAACCCCGTCATACTTTCTTATATCATTAATGCACAACAAATTTAGAATATATTACAAAATGAACTATATAAAAAATATTTTATTTGAATAATCATATATGATTAATATAATTTAACCGATGAATAGTCTATTGGTACAAGATCACTAGATTATATAAGCTCGGAATTGCTAAGTCTAATACTAACAGTGCACTTTTTATTACTACATAAATATTTAACTACAGTATATTAGTTTGATTTTTT